AAGCACTTGAGCATTGGCAAGACAGCTTTTAATGAGATTTGTATGATGTAAAACATCCATACTCAGAGCTTTTCAAGTGATGACTTTCCTGAAGTTACACATCCTTACACACTTAGAAAAACACTTTAGAAACAACTTAAGTCATTGAAATTGGCATTTCTTTAACATTACTATTACTACTTCCACTTTCTTGGTAAAAAGCCCGATAAAGGGATCTAAATTAGGAAAAACAAGGTTGACAGCATTAGTTCAGGAAAAGCAGGTGAATAAAAGGTTAGACATGTCTACAGCATGCTGAAACTCAAGTAATGGGGATAGTGCAGTTTGAGAACTTCTGAAGCTTCCGGGAAAAAAGCATTCTCCAGTTCAACTGAAACAAGAGAGTATATCCTCAGATAAGACAATTTGAAAACTTAAAAAATCCAATAGGGAAATGAAAAGAACACTCAAGTATTTGAACTCTTGAAGACACAAAGATCCTTATTCTGCTATAATTTTTCAAAAATCATGTCCAAGTAGATCCTGTCCCTATGTTTTGATAGCCATTACACTAATTCCCAATATAAAAAAATCAGATAAAGCCCAGGTTGTAGCATACTCAAAGATTTACAGTGCCTGAATCTAATACTGAAGCCATACCTATAGTTGAAAGTGCCTATAGTGGTGCCTTCCTTCGTACTCCTTTGAATTACTCCTGTCTCACTCCAAACAACTGAATCAAGACCTTGAAAGCCATCATCAAGAGCCTTCTCCTGTCAGAGCAAGCACAGCTTAGAATCATGTAATGACCGCTGTCCTTTCAGTCACCTCTCTGTCATAACAAACATCCAACATTCAGAAGTAAAAAAAAAAAAAATCAAATCTTCCTTCCTTTTTGTGTTTTTCCTGAAAGAAATATTGGATTTTTAATTAAACGTCAATGACACATAGTCTGTACGGCACAAAGTTTCAAGTTTCATAAAATAAAGAGTTTCATGCTCTCCTCGCATTCACATAATTCTGATTATACATGCTTCTACACCAGAGCTGAATGTACATTTAATGACTAAATACAAGATAAATAAATGGCTACAGCTAGGGATTATTAGGTCAAATGAGTTAGAAAAATTACAGCTGTGTACTCATTTGTTTCCCCATTTGTTTCCCCCAAACACACTTCAAAATATACATAAAATTTGTATTTTAGGTGCTTAGACATTATTTCTACCCCTCTTGTTTATGCTCCTAGGCAGAAATTTAACTGTAACCGCCACCAAATCTATTAGGCACAATGCTGATTTTCAGAACTGAGTGTCTCCTAATACCTTTTGCCCTGGCAGGGCAAGGGGAAACACTTCTATTTAGAAAAAAAAAAAAAAAAAAAAAAAAAAAAAAAAAGTACTGTGAGGAAGCAACTCTGAATATGCTTTGATTACATCAAAGTGTATGGTGATCAGTTTGGGAAACATGTTTAAAGTGGGACATCCTGAACAAACAGCCCTAAGAATAAAAAAGCAGCAGGACTCAGCTTTTAAAGGCAGCCTTATCACTTAAATCAACTACACAACCCACATAAAAACAAGACTAAACTTTGCAGTTCTAAACATCTTGCAAAAAGCAAATTTGCTCCTTCTAAAACTCTTATCCATCAGCTGTGCAGAGTACTGCACGTTAACTCCAATATTCCTCTTCAAAAATATTTAATCCGGAAGGTATCATTCAGTAGCTATGGTGCCAGGCTTGAATACCCCACCAGTAACTAGTTTCTGTTCTGAAGATAAGAATGGAGAAAGCTTTATTCCTGTGACCACACATGTAATATCAAGGTAATTTCAGGGCTTTTTCTTAAAAGGGTACACAAAAACATTTACTTTTTCATTTAACCAGAGGATTTTAAAATCGAGAGGTGCACTTTTATAGTGTAAAGATAGCACAATTACTTGTTTGGCATGACAGCTCCTTTCAGCAAAAGCCAAGAATTAATCAGAACTAGAAGTTGTGTATTCCTTTTTGCTTTTGGCATTCAAAAAGTAAAGGGATCTTCAGAAGGTGATTTCATCAAGTCTATTTATTAATGCATTTCAAGTTTCAAAAAACCTTACATATCTTTGCACAATACTTTATTTTTTGCATTTTTAGTAAAAATTTCCAAAGTGAACAAAAAAAGATACTGTATAAAACACAGTGGACATGAAATCGACAGTAGTATTCCATTTTGTTGTCTTGAACTTTTTCGATTTTACCACATCTTGACTTGCAGTGGAGAGTTCAGTGCACATTTCTGTTTTCAGAAAACATTTAACTTAGACTGAAAATAAAATAGGGCAGCATTTGTCTGCCAAAGTCCTACCACAGGATAACATTACAGGCAAAAAATTTACATGTTCCAAAGTCTACCACACTCAAGAAGTTACTAAGAACTCTTGCTGAATAAAAGTCACCATTTTAGAAACGCAAACCCACTTCCAATCTTTGCACAGTCTTAAAACAAATGTATTTAAAATGACTTAAAAGCAACTACATACACTTCTACTAACTAGTTAAGATCATTTAGAAATTATATAGTCTATTGGACTTGGGGTTTCATGTACAAAATTTATCTCTAAACCATGTACAAAAAGCTGTATTTTGAAAAAGTTACCACATACTGTACAAGTTTACAAGGAAGAGATCCCATTATATTCTGTAACATTTTTGGCCTTGCTGGCTTGCGTCACATTATGAGAATGATTGTGTAAACCTTATACTCTTAAAAAAAAACAAAACAAAAAGAACAAACCAAGGAAGCCTTTTCAACCCTTAGTGAATTTTCTCCTAAGCAAAGCCAGGAAAATCATAGCCATCTGCATCTCTAATTAGCTCGGTGCTTCTGAAAACAAGCAATAAATATATCACAAGCTTAAACATTTTGTAATGCCCCCTTTCATCTCCTGCATAGCAGTAAGCACCTTAAGACATCTTTTGTTTCCTCTTTCAAAAATGCCAATTATTTACACTCCTAACAAAACTTTGGAATGGGACATTGTGCTGTTGAACTTCACTACTGGTATAAAATGTGGGAAAATTGGTAGTCCTAACTACAATTTTAACTCTGCCACAGTAGCTGGGCAAATCACTCTACCTTAGTGGTTATCAATCAACAGTATCATGCTGAAAAGTTATCCAAATATCTGATAAATTAAAAGAAAATAAAACCCCTACAGCTTCTCTTTCTTTTCACATCCCTCAGAACATGAACTTAATTATTATACTGTGAGACTATCTGAACAGCCCAAATCAACTGGTTGCAATTTTAAAAACAAGTTGAAAAACTGGTAAAGTTTTCTAAGAAAGCATGGAAGTATTTCATCTAACTATTCATTATTTAACTGAATAATCAGACAAATTAAACATATTTATGCCAAGCCACAAAAAATTAAGACACATAAACCTGTTTTGAAACACTCTGGCATTTGCAAAGTTTGCAGAAAACTTGTTGTATCTCTAAAATACCTTTCAATCTTGTATGCTATGTCTTAGCAGCTGTTTGATAAAGACGAAATGAGCGCTTGAAACATTTTATCATGATAAAAAAAGGTTTGATTTGCTTCAAAATAGCTGTGTAAAGCATCACAGGATCCTTGACTATTACACACCATCATCCTCTGTTATCCTGAGTATGTCAATTAAACAGTAATTTCTTCATTAATAGCGGAAAAGTTTTATAATACA